TCAACATCTACTTGAAAAAACTCTTGGGTGGGCAAATCCATTCTATAGCACTATAAACACAAACTATTAACAGTAATAACTGAAATCTTTAAACATGACTCTCTCGGTCAAAACAAACCCATTTTCCAAAAAATAAGTTATGTTGCCAAATTAAAGGGGCGCTCACTCACTCACCCATTTTACACAAAATAATGTCATCAGTTATCTCAGAGTGGCTTTTTAGTGGAATGCCTGCATGTAAAATTAGGGGAATAGAGTTTGAATGTGGGCAGGGAGAGTCTAATGAAAGATGGATCAAGTTGCATTATGGGGAAGGATCCAGTGTTTTTGGAGCTTGATCCAAGCTAGAGACAACAAATCAGGATATTCTGGCCTCTGCTACTTCGATTTTTGAACATAAATCCTGCCACTGAATTAAATGTATTCTTATAGAAAATAATATCCTGCCCTTTCCACTTCTTCATGTTCAGTGCAACTAGTCTTAAATCACTTTTATTTTGGAGGGGGCCTGTTTCTGTGAATGTGGTGACTCTACAGATGGGTTTAATAAACACAGTGAGACTTTGCAGTGATTAGACATTAACAGGCGTTACATAATGATCACTGAGAAAGGAGCACTAATAATGGCCAATAATCTTCCTTTTTGTATTGGCCAATGCTTTAAGAAACACAGAATCATCAGGATGGTGTTAATTCAAAGCAACACTTACATTTTGGAGGGCGGACTGAATACTGGCAGTGGTTGGATTGTCTTTGAGAAGTTACTCCCAAGATACACAACCACACTATTTGACTTATCTTCTTGACCTGAGAGTGTTTCTCTTCCTTGACTTCATTTTTCTACCCCTTGCTGAGTCATCCAAAACTTTCCATCGACTACATGCTGTCTCTACTTACAATAGGCCTGGCACCCTCAGCACAGTTTTCTGTAAGTACTGCGTCACTGATATCAATTTTACACAGTGTCTAGTGACATCCCTCTGTTCTTGGGTTGCGCTCAGTTCCCTGCATGCTGATTGATCATCTCATCGCCTGTTAACTTTCAGTCTGCGTATGCCTCCTGCTATATTATCTTCCTAAATTTCCATTCTCGCAGGGGATTGATGTCTTTTCCTCCCTTCCTCTCTAAGCTCTTGAAACTCTTTAAACCCCCATCATAATGAGTGAAAACACACTTTCCTATAATCCTCTTTGATCTGGTTCTGTATTGTTGGGTGCAGAGAAAACAATACAGACAGGGAGAAGAGTTTATGGCTTGTTGAAACCATGGTAACAGTACACCCAAGGTGACATAATTATGCTGGTAAAAAAAAAAGTATCTGATATAGACCTGTGGTAACTTGTTGCCCTAGCAACTACAGAAAAATAAGCTGTGTTGGTATGTTGTCTTGTCTTCTTTGCACTATGAAATCATTATAGCTGCAAAGGGATCTATATTCTCAATGTATTCATTTATGAGCATTTATAATATCTGTGGCATTTATAAGATGCAAATAAGACAGTTGAGTCAGCTGAGACAAGTGAGACTGATTTTGCTTCACCAAAATTAGGAAAAAAGACTTGGAGTAGATTAAGATAGATTAAGTTCAGCATTTTCCATATTGCAAAATAAAATAGGGCTGAAAAGAAAGCCCTAAAATCTCAAGTCAACAAGCCTTTTAGCAAAACACTTCCCTAAATGCTGTGATGGAGCTTCTCACTGGGGTAGAACACAGAGGTTGTGCTGGGTAGCTGCAACTGGAAATATGACTAAAATAAATACATAACAGGGTGGTTCACTCAAGAATATGGTGCTGAGCAACTGTCCAATTGATAAATACACTACATGGTTGACACTAGATCATTACATTCATGTCTTTTTCCAAGTCTTCCCACAAAAAATGATAACAATTACTTTATAGACCTGGAGTTGTGCACTCGGGTTGTTATGCTGAAACAGGAGATCGCCTCCCCAAACTGTTGGAAGCACACTTTTGCCTGAAATTTGACCAAACCATGAAACACAGTCTCAGATCAGATTTTTGCATTAGTACCTTTAGTCATGTGATGAGAAAGCTAAAAGTAAGTCTCTATAAAAGGTTGTGTTTATAAATTACTTATTACCTATTTGTTGTGTAAAATACATTAGGTAGGCCACATTCTTGTTAATAATAGGTATAAGAAGACCTCTACAGGTGTCTGGGGGGAACTGCAACATTGGTAAAACATCTCGAACATCTCTGAAAGAGCACAGCATAGAACATGGCCCACGCTTATCTTTTATTTAACCATTTTTTTGTGTGCAGTTTTTGTGCTGACAAACATACTTTGACATGCTCTGCACAAGGGATTTCAGGAAAAAGTACAGTATGCAATGTAGACTTTCTTTTGTCCAACTGCTCTCTTACCTGTGAATTTTCTGTCCCTGCTATAACATGACCCCCCCCCCCCCCCCTCTCTTTTCAATGCACAGCACTTAACTGGTTCAACCTACGACAGAGATGCATATGTCAAAAGCAGAGGTACTGGTACATGTTGCACATACACCACCACCAAGGTTTCATTTCAGTTTATTCATTTACACTGTTCAATCACAAAGGTTTATTTGTACAGTCATTACAATTATGAACAGTATAAAACCTTCTGAACATGCAAGTCTTTATGTGTGAATGTACAGTATATTTGCTTAGTGCTCTATTTACAATTGGAAAAAAAAACAAACACTAAACATAATACAAATGTTACATGCATACGTTTATGAACAAAACCAAGAAGCACTTCTTCACAATGCATCACTTAGAAGATGTCATCCATCATTGGCCAGCAATGTCCCACATTCAAAACACTGCTCAAACACTAACTTCAACCTTTTCTTTATATACACTTCATGTGCCACAACTCAAAGCAGTACATTTTTTAATTGATAATCCAGCAAACATGGCAAGTAAGTCCAACTATTAGATCAGAATGTCCTTAAATAATCTACTGGGGGAGCGGATTCACGGCCCACCAATCCTAATTTGGAGCCCAGTGAATTATTAAACGACTTACGTAAAACCTTTTTCAACATTTAATATCACTCCAACCTTCTCTGTGTGCGTATAGTGACTTCATAATGCTGTATGGGACATGGGAGGAACCAAAATAAAAAAGGGGAACTAAAAAAGATGTAATTAGACAAAACAGCAGCAATAAAAACACACGGTGAGTCTTAAGGTTTTGGATGTGACGTACCTTTTTCACCTGAGATTAGATTTTCTTTGTAACAGAGCAGAAGATGAGTGAGACCGAGTGGCACTTAGAAAGGCTTAAAACACTGATTAATGCTGACATTAAACAATGTGACTGAGAAAGATTTCATACAAACATACCTAAGTGACATATGAGTAGGGCTGGGCATCATTTGAAGGTTTTTCCATACTGGTGCTTACCCCAGTACCCAAGTTTTGGTAAAAATACCCAAACTGTATTCTTTCAATACCTTACTCTCTACAAAAACCTGCCGGGTTTTCAAAAGCAATTAAACTATATCTGATCAGAGAATAATCAGATGACAATAAGCAACAATTCTGTGCCAACATTCAATATGAACACCATTATGTCTCTACTCAGAGAGATCACTTCTAGGATCAATACCCAGCCCTACATCAAGCAAATATTCGACCTCTCTATCAAAAGAAATCAGAACCACAATTTTAACTAAGATAATTGTTTAAAGTGTCCCAGTGTAGTCAACCTATTTTTACAGTGTAAGGCAACTACAAACAGGAAAAATAGTGCTTTAGTTAAACGAATTGGCCATTTTGTCCAGTTCAGTCAAGGTTGTGAAAAAGGCAACATTGTCATTGCAAAGTAAGTCTCACACTTATCTCAGCCTTGCAATGAAAGCAGTCACACACGCTAAATGACAGAGCAGCATTACTCTAGTACGGACAGATTGTAACACACGCACTTCCATCTACTGAATATGATTTGTAGGGAAAATAAAAGGGTTTGGTTTAGGGCCTTGTAGTTCTTATTCCTTTACAAGTAAAGCTTGAACATTTAACAGATGCTACACTTGCTCTAAGTTGAAAGGCTATTTAAGGAACTTACGAGGAACCTCCAACATTGTCCTACACCACTAAAAGTGCAGAAAGGGATGTTGTTATTTAGTGGAGTGGCCAGATCTTAGTGTACTGTACAGTACCAAACACTGACGCAAAATAAAAATGACAAGCCACAAGAACTTTTAGCAGTCAGTCCGCAAAGGATTTTTGACATGGACTACAATTCTTACTCTATACTTACCTACAATAAAGGAGAAGTAGCAAAGTCAATACCATTAAAATGTTACCACTCAATGGAATAATTTAGTAACAACTGTTCCCATTTTCTCTAAAATGGAAATAAAACATGTTATGAAGTTAACACAAAACCATGACTGGAACCATTAAAAAAATAAAAAATAACACTAACAATGTGCAAGTCTGCATGGAAGCCTCCACTCATATCTACAGAGCGGAGAAAAAGGCATGTCTGTTGCATTTCCTGATAGGTTTTTTATCTGAGAGCAACATTTAAATAGGCAAGATCTCAGATAGACGACAGGCATAAGCATGTCATGTAACAATGCCAAGTGTTAAATATCCAGATATTCTTCATGTCCTCATTCTCTCAAGCTGAATATAAGACACACACACAGACACACCATCAGTGATTATGCATTACTGTGCAGCGCTGTACATTTGCACTATAATTGTTGCACACTAACTGTTAGTAAGCAAGGAGTCACAGGGACTGTTCCATGATGCAAACAAGCAGCAACTGTCCCTTCATTTATAGCTTTCTTGATATATCACAAGGACCATCCAGATTGATGTCATTTTCCGTGCTGTCCATATCTCAAAGCCAAGGCTTAGAAGAGAACATTTCTATATCAGTGTTGATTTTAAGGTCGATTCACCTCTAAAGACAACTGTATGATGTTTACTTGGTGGAGACAAAACTTGAACTAAACTCAGCAGGATTTATATTGATGCCCCCCCCCCATGACACAACTAGTGTATGTGCGTTGTCCACTTATCCATCAAAAAATCCTTTACCATTTCCTACAGAGCTTTTTCCATCCAGAGAGTAAAAAAATATCACATCATGTGACACGAGACTGTTCCTTGATTCAGCAGATTTGTGCTGCACTGCTGTTATCTCGGAAAAACTTCAAATAAAGGAATTACGGAAATGTATTACCAGCATCAAATCAAACCTGTTGTAATGGACTGCCAGAGGCTCGTTCATATAATTTCATTTCATAATTTCATTTCAACGTCTTACTGTTGCATCATTGCGATGCGATGTGCCATATACATTGCTTCTTCTGCAGGAAGTTTCTCTGATAGAAACATTTCATCAGTCAATCAGTGGTGCATCGCAAGCTTAAGCAACCAATAACCACACCGAATTGGTTTCTCTCAGTCTTTCAGAACACAGAACAGTTTGCAGTGACACAGACTGTAATGTAAGAGTTAAATCTATCCTAGACTTATATCAGACTGTTAAACTATCAGTCTGTCTCCGTGGTTACCCACAGGTAAGTGTATGTGTGCGTTCGTCAGCACCAGGGTTCACGCTGGGCTCTGCCTCGCGCCAGACTGTCTGCCCTCTGCCAGGCGCTGCTCATCAGGGCGAGTGCCTCACCACAACGCTTCTGCACAGACGGATCTGACACATCTCTGTGGGGAAGGTCAACCTGTGTATAGTGACGACATACGAGAGAGTTCAAACAGATGGATGGCCAGCGGATTTAAGTTTTCGATGACGAATTTTGGGACAGCAAGTGTTGCAATATTACAATATTAACTGATAACTGTCATACAAAACTGTAATGAACAACGTGATCTCACTGAGAAACAAAAAAAAAAACCAACAGTTTCTCTTCCCACCTGGTAAATGGCCTTCCATGTGTTGTTTAATGCTTCCAGCAGTCGATGTCTCTCTCCATACCCGCTAAAGTACAAGACCCATGGAGGAAGGAACTGTGTCCGATCTGCTGCAAACTCCTACAGAGGCAAAAATCAGAAAAAGCAAAGAGTGAAGGCTTACATTAAAGGTCCTAAACATAAGATAATTATAGCAGTACAACATACTTCATATATATATATATATATATATATATATATATGTATATGATGGAATGTAAAATCTAAATTAAACTAGAAAACAAATTCCTCTGGTTCTGTCTGTGTGTGATTATTTGTTACAAAGCAAAAGAGAAAATGTTATGGTGGAAGATACTTGATAAATGACAAAATGTAACTAGAGTTTAACTATTTCCTAGACGCATCAGGCTAGTAAGCTAGTACAGTTTGTTTGGTATAAATGAACAGGGCCCTGACAGCAAATGCTTTGTCCCTTTTAGTTTTCGGTTGAGACTCTGGAACAGACAACAGACCTCTGCCCGAGGATCTCAAAGTATGTGTGGGTGCATTTAGGACTAAAAGGTCAGAGATATGACAAGGAGAGAGGCGACGAAGAAGTAATCAATAAAGTCTATTCTAAGACATACTAGGAGCCAGTGTCATGAAGCTAAAACACAGGTGATGTGATTATATTTCTTTGTTCTGGTCAAAAGCCTGGCAGCTGAGTTCTGGACAGTCTGGAGTCAATTAATAGATTTTTGGGTAATAAAAGGTCTGTTGCAATAATCCAGTCGAGATGATATAAAAGGCATGTTAAATGGTCTTAGCGTCCTTAAAAGTTAAAATTGATCGTATTTTTGATATATTTCTAAGATCGTAAAAACAGGATTGCACAAGCTTTGTGGCGTGCTACTCGGAACCTAAATTATTGGCCAACCGGACGACAGATGATTCTTTGCAACTGGCCTGGTATGATTCACACTTCTGTGGAATGCTCTCCCTGACCTCCTGAGGACACCACAGACGGTTTAAATTTGTTTAAATAAAAATGTATTATTAATATTATTATTTACATTAGGATGCCATGATGGAACTGGTGCTTTCTTATATTTATAATTCAGTTTTATTAACTCAGCACTTCATCTGCATCACAAATTGTTTTGCAGAGATCATTCGTGACTTTTAGCATCTAGCTTAAAAAACATCACACAGGAAATTTTTTTAACCTGAGTGAAGGACACTCCTGAAAACTTAACTTAATTCCATAGTTAATACATTAAAACTGTGGGTATATGTAGATGCACACAAATACATAAAATAATGAATTAAAGTGTAATAGGAGTCCAAGAGGGGTTAAACAGATGGTCACTTACAATGACACAGTACTCCTTGTCGGCCTCCAGGCTGACAGCAGTGATGTCGCAGATGTCTGCACTGCCCAACGAACGGAAGAAGCTGGTCTGACAGTCCTGATGGCAAGTAAGCAGCTTCTCGTCGGTCATCACCAGGCAACAGGGGATACATGGAGTGGGGGCCACACCCTGAGGGATGACCTGCAGGTAAGGAGTTGTAGATTAATCCTTACCAATATAATCAGGGCTTATCTATTAATCCATACTGACATTTTGTATTAAGAGAACATACGTCTCTTGCATACGATGTACATCAGCAGCTGTCCTAACAATTCACTTTTTCAGTCTGTACAGCCAGCTTAGCATGCTACAGGGATTATTTGTCAAGGGTGTTTATGTATGGTCACTTCTTGTTAAAAAGCTGTGAGGAAAGCCAATCTAACTTCACTGAAGAGTTTCTCCACTTAAGATTAAACACAACAGTATGTGGGATATCACAAAGTGTTTGTTCTAATTCAGCATGTTGTACATTGACAGTATTGACAGTACATGTGACTGGTTGGTGCAAAGTATATAGTGTTGTACATACATAGCTGAATTGTTTTAGTTTAGTTTCATTTTTTATGGACTGTGTAAACCTTGTGTGGACTAATGAACAGACAGACTGTGACACCAAGTATTGTCCCCCTGTATCTATTAAAAAGTTGAGATGCATGCAATATTGGAAATGTAAAAAAAAAAAAAAAGTTTGCTAAACATGTGGTTTGTGTGCTATGCAATTCCTTACCCCTTTGGAGACGGACTGGCAGAGCAGCTGCATCCAGTCAGCCATGTCCTGCTCATCATTGGCACTGAGCTCCAGCGGAGGCCGCTCTGTCAGGATGACTTGAAAGGCATGGGGACGCTCTGTGCTGTTTGAGCGACGGCAGCCTCCACAGTGCTCTCCTCTGTTGGGAAATGATAACAAAGAGCATGAAAATGTATCAGTGAACATTATTTTCTTAAAAGTACTGTTTTTAGTAAAGGCCTCCACAGGTTAACCATCTCCGGTCTAATAGGCCTTTTTCCCTGAAGACATCACTGATATATCACAGTAGTCGACAGAGTGAATTATTAAAAGATTGAATTCCATTTAGATGCTTCAGTTTCAGGGTCCTAGTATTGTGAACCCTGCCATGGCTTACTGGGACACTTGTGGGAAGTGTTTTTCATACTATGACAAGTCAAAATGTCAACATGGACCATCTTTCAGCAAGCTGAAGCTTACCCCATAGTGACTGACTGCAGAGGTGTCACATCAGATCTTGCTGCATACAGGTACAGAATCCCATTGCTGCAAGAAAAGAGGACAACGATTTATATTCACCTAATCAGAAGTGTGACATTAAATTACGTAAATATAATATTTTTTAATATAATATATAGCATACATTTTGAGCTTTACAGAATGCATTAATCTGGACTGTTTTACAAAAAAATAAAAGGCACTTCCAATTTTTTTTTTCCCCTCATATATTTCACTCGCTTTTTCAGGATTACAATATGTTAGATGTCAGAAAATAAAAGAGAAAAACTACAGTGTATAAAGTTCAGCAAACAAATACAAAACAACAAACAAAAAAACACCAATCACGGCCTGATATAGAGAAGCCTCCAAAAAATAAATATACCTTAAAAGAACAGCACTTCATCACATTGGTAATCTAAACTAACCAATTATATTTAGTTTTGCTATTATTTTCCCCATTGAGTACACTTGATTTAACCTGTCACGCCACTGATATAGGGCAGGTGGCAGTGATTTGAGCCAAGATAAAGTCATAATTTATTTTGCCACCAATAAAAGGATGTGGAGCATGTAAGCCTTTCTCATTGCCATAGCTCTATCAGGTATTACTCCTATAATTTAATTAGATATGTTCCGATCTGATACCAATATCGAATGATACTGACTGAAATAGCTGGATCGGGTATCGGTTACAAGGGGCCCTATCTGGGGATCCTGTCCCTGAATATAATAATCCCATCCCTAAAGATAATACAATGGAACTAGAGATAAATCAATGTTCAATAAATGTATGAATATTACAATGGGAAGTAACATGAATGCCCATCAGTGTTTTTGTGATAAAGAGAGACCCCCCCCCAATGTGTATTGGGAAGCTGGCAAGGTTAATGTGAGATATTCAGTACGACACCCAGCCGATGTATATTTAAGGGAACATACCAGCTGCAAGGAGTAATGATCTGTACAACCTGCCCATTACCTGAGGACAAGGTAGCAGCTTTTCCACAGCTCTTTGCCCAGATAGGTGGTTCCAGCTCGGTACTGCAGAGTCCCCTCCTTGGTGCTGGAAGGTACTCCAGACTTTGGAGGGCCGCCCTGGGGTGACAAATTCATGTCCATTGGATCCTCCCAATGGACCAGTGAATACAGTTGGATAGACACTTCAGATACCTGCAGAAACAGGCAAGCATTAGTAGCATTAGTTGACCACTCCTTCAAAGTCAACATTAGCAAACATTAGCAATCAGCGTTTGCATAGTTGACTTCAAATCATGTATACTTTACATTACTGCTAACCACTTTCCGAAGCATACTTTGGTGTTCGAGATTTCTTTTCAGCTTTCTGTAAGTCAGCTTCATCTCTGTAAGCAGCGTCGTCATTAGCCTGGGGTTTTTTGAAAAGCCCCGGATCTCAGAAGGATTTTTAAAAAACAAACAACAAAAGGCCAAAAATTGAACTTTACTCGCTTTACTAACTAGATTATTGTTATTATTTATTCTCCTGCAAATTAGTGGAGAATAAGATGATCCAGCTGTAGCTCTGTGTCTGTCCTCTCTGCTCCACCTGAAGCTGTGAGCTGCACTGTATCAGAGGCGCTGAAATTAACTTGCGTGGATTTGTGGTGAGGTTCATCACCTGATAG